ACCAAAGGCCTGGTGATCTGAAGAGCCAGATCGTCATGGCTCCTATAAACAATAGCAGAGTCGAGGTCATTGAGATCTCAGAGAGAACATTGTTCCAGAGGCTAGGCACTGGTAGAGAGAAAGCATGCTTTCCAGGGTTTTGAGAGATGACATTGCTTAATTGAAGGAACTCTGAGTACACCAACCATGCAGGATCAAATTGGCCAGGCAGATATTATGAAAGGTAAGCTGTCCTTCAATTAACCAGACTTTATGCCATTTAGGGCTTTATAAGGAACAACCAGGGGACGCGGTGGCTCAGTGGCTAAGACACTGAGCTTGTCGATCAGAATGGTTGGCAGTTTGGTGGTTCAAATCCCTAGCGCCGCATAAGGGAATGAGCTCCCGTTACTTGTCCCAGCTTCCGCCAACCTAGCAGTCCAAAAGCATGTAAAAATGCAACTAGAAAAATAAGGACCACTTTGGTGGGAAGGTAACAGCATTCCATGTACCTTCAGTGTTTAGTCATGTTGGCCATATGACCACGGAGATGTCTTTGGACAGTGCTGACTCTTCAGCTTTGTAATGGATTGGAGCACCACTCCCTAGAGCCAGAAACAACTAGCACATATGAGTTAGGGGAACCTTTACCTTTTTAAGGAACAACCAGGACCTTGAATCATACCCTGACACAAACTGACAACCAGTGCAGCTTGCAAATTATATGTGCATACTAAGCCATGCCAATTACTACTCATGCCACTGCATTCTGGACCAGTTGAAGCTTCTTCGTAGTTTACAAGGGAAGTCCCAAGTATGAACCATTGCAGTAGTCAAGTCAAAAGGCCGCTAGAGCATGAGCAATTTTTTGAAATGTCCCATGGTCTAAGAAACGGTGTAAATGGAATATCAGATAGAGTTGTATAAACCTTTTCTGGCTGCAACTAACACCTCCCTTATGTCATACAGACAATGTGATATGATTATAACAGAGGCAATAAGATACTTGATGAAAACAATTCATAGCTTTGGAGAATTCTCTGGGTACAAAATCAATACCTAAAAAATAATTAAAAATAAACTTAATATAAGGAGAAGACTTCTTGTGGAAAGAATCTGGCTGTGAGTTAACACACAGTAAAATTTCTTGATTTGTATTTCACAGGTAATAATCAAGATATATATCCAAATAGTTACGGCAGATTATAGCAAGAAATTAAAATTGCTCTTGAAAAGTGGAAAACCTTAAAAGCCTTACCAGTTATTCCAAACACAACAATGGACAGAGGTGTGGAACAGATCTATAAAATTTACTAATCTGTGTTTTAAGGGTCTGCTTTACAAATGGTGGGCAACTCTATCAATAATTGCCCAAAGAGATAAATCATAGAGCAATCAATACTGAAAATGCCACAAGAAAGAAGGAGCTATACAGTATATAGCACTATTTAGAAAGTCGTAGGACCAAATTAGAACTGTTACCATTTTTTTAAGTAGTTACAATTCTAGAATATGATAAACAATATTAATTTATTATAATACGTGCTTATCGCCATGAGAATAAACTTTGCATAACTCTGGAAAAAAAGACATCTAAGGACTCCTCTAGTTATGATGGCAGTTGGGACTAGAATTTTCATTGCTAAGTGATATGGTTGTAAAGCATAATATCACATGGTGGCATCACTTAGCAATTGCAATTCCTGCAATTCCCATTGCTTGCATTAAATGAGGATCATGAGTTAATTGAGCACTTCCTGCTGGCTTTCAACAACCAAAATCAGTGGGAAAGCTTGTGTCAACTAAAAAGATAGTCCTTTGGTCTTTTTAGCTGCCAGAAAAAGGGAGTTGGGGAAAACAAGGCATTCCTTAAATGCCTAGATAATAACCCCCGGTAGCCCAAGTTGTCAGAGCATAAGAAGGTTATTGGAGAGCATGATGGATGACTCTTGGAGATGGATGTGTCCCATTGGAGAAGTCACATCCAGAGGGTGGGGGGAAGACCAGGGTCAAGGGGGAAATGTATGATGTAATTTAGTATCGGCTGCATACAGCTTATGCCAATATGGCCACTCCTAATAAATCAATTTACTTTTCTCCGAGATGCAGCTAGAGACTTTTGATTTGAATGAGGGTGGATTTGTTGGAGCCCTGACAGCTTGCAGGATCTTGCAAGTTCCAAGTGGCTCACAAGTAGGCTGGCTGGTAGGTAGAAGAGGAACAAGGGTGTGAGTGGGGAGAGGAGTGAAGAGCAGTGGAAGCAGAGGTGGTATTCAGACAGTTTGGACCAGTTCTAGTGTACTGGTAGCTAAAATTTTGACTAGTTCAGGGGAACCGGCAAATACCACCTCTGACTGGCCCTGCCCACCCGCCCCCACCGTTAGTTCTCCTATATTTCCTTGCTTTTTTAGCTCAGCTGATTTGTGTGGCAGAGCAGATTGCTGTGCCTCAGCTAAGCTAAAAAACAGCTCAGCTCACTCACCAGTGTTCGGACAGAAATCTAGCCCTGCACACGCATGGGAAGCATATGCACATAGAACCACTCATAGAACCAATAGGGAAAAAAAATTGGGAACCCACCACTGAGTGGAAGGCAGAGAGGCTTTGGGTAGTTGCTGCCAAATGGGACAAGTACACAAGATGGTGTGATGGGGAAGGCATGACATGAGTGTGGAAGTTGGTGTAGCTGCTGCAGATGGGAAGAGGTGGGTTAGAGGATGGGAAGAAACTACACAAGTGCAGTGAGGCTCAAGAAGGATGTGCAGGTGGAGAAAATTTACTCTAGCAACTTGTGACATTCCGTGACTGCTTCCACATTGACTTTAGTTGAGGGGAGCTGCCAGAAAAGGTTGCAAGATCACATAACTATGGAATGTGGCAAGCAATGTAAGTGCTAGGCAATTTTCAAGTGCCCAGATCATAACCATGTGATTGTGCAGATTCTGGGATGACCAGAATTTGAGGACTGGTCATAATCACAATTGACTCTGAAATTCACCCAGATTATTCTAGATATGATGATAATGTGAATTATCAAGTCTAAGGTATTTTATACGCTTCTGGAGAAACTAACCATGGCACAAAACTCTTATCCTGTTTAGGCAGTTAGAAATAAATAAGCAAATAGGTACATATATCTCAAACCAAATTTTGAATAAATATTATTTAAGATGTGATCCCTGAGAGACAGAAGGAAGAGCAACAGACTAGACAATCATCATAAAAAGTATCAAAGCACAAAGATGGGAAAGGGGTAGGACATGTGTCAGAAGAGATATTCCCTAGTTTACTGCAACATAAAGGAGAGAAGAAGGGTTTTCAAACTTGCAAGATTCTGTAACTGTAAGCTTACAATAAAACTAGTATTAGTTCACATGATTTGTACTTCTTGATTGGAGGACCGCAGAGGACTGAAGTCAATCTTGTCAAACTGTCAAATTGACTCAACACAAAGAATTGGATGCCTTCAAACTGATTAGAACATTCAGGGAACTCCTGAACATGGACACTGATTTTCTGTGGAATCAGGCTTGGGATTCACATTGCAAATTTGAGTTGAATTGGCTCAGCTCCCTGAAGTGCAAATTCAAACTGAATCAACTCAACTCAGGAATTCCTATATTCAAAATGGGGCCTGGCTAATTCCTATTCCATACTATTTTCACTTTTGTCAACCATTTCTCCTAATGTGACTGTTTCATCTATATCATTCATGTATCAGATACGTATTTAGAGGTTTGGAAGTACACCACCAAACACACCTTGAAATATACCCCTGTAAGCCCTAGGCTTAGACACACAGTAGAAAAGATACTAAAAGTGTCTTTTTTCTCTCTCTATTAAGACAAAAATCTGTGACAGGTTACAATAGACAAATAAATTATAATAGGTTGGCATAACACTCTTATGACCAAGTCAATAATATTTTAAATCAAGATTTAATTATGTATTTGTTCCATAGGGAAGCAAAAGAAAATTAACTGTCCAGTTTGGATAAATGAAGTGGCTTGTCAATCTCACTTCCACTGATGTAGTTGCTTTACTTAATAATTCATGGCTCATATTTGACAGATACGGTTGAGCAGATAACCACAGCTACTGTTCTGATTTTCACTGATATGGTATTTCAGTCAATGGAAAGTAGGATGTTTTCTACTAAGTTTTCTTGAGAGTTTGTTCCCAAAAGCCATTCTTCTTTTCTGCACTTAATATATGTGCATGCATGTATGTATATATACAACACACATACACATTCAAATTTACATACATGCATGCATGCACAAGACAGACTTTCATTCATTCATTTCTGTATTTTATTCACTAAAATTCCTCTCCAAATTAAAATGAGCAATCAATGTATCCTCTCACATACTGAAAACCACATGGATATTTAGCATAAATTTACACAGGAGTATCAATAAATTATGTTAATTAGAGGAACATACCTAGCAGTTGGTCAGAACATCAGTTCATAGGAAACTTTTTTTTTCTGTTCTTGTTTCAGTCCCAGATTTCAGTATGTTTATAGATAGTCATTTAATCAGTTTTACTAGCAACAAGTGTAAAGTGTGCACACTGTTGTATGAAAACCTGAAAAGCTACTGAAATGTACACTCTCTATACTCATATATTTCCTGCAGTGGAAGCAGGGGAGAATACTTTATTGAATGATTATATTAATAGAAGCATCAGTAATGGCAAATGAGTATGTTATATAACCATCAGAATATTTGCAATGTAAAGTGCACAGAAAATTGTGACTCATCTTACATCAGGGATTACAGGGAACTGTCATTGTAGACTTCTAAAACAAACATCCTCCTTTGACTTACCTGCAAAGTTGCCCTTTCAGAAGTTGACAAGTTCCCAGTTTCAAGATCTGTCTAAATCAGGAGGAGGTGCTTGATGTGGTTCTAATGTAAGCACATATTCTGCTTGCTTGTTGGTGTATTGGCCCCAGCCAATAACCTGATCAGGTCTAGTAAATTCCAAGTAAGAAATGAACGTTGTTTGTCACTTACCAGCTCTTCACGAAGTTGGAAAATGAGTTCATCTTTCTCTTTTAGTTGCAGTTTCAGAGTCAAGCATTCATCTTTCATTATATCCTATAATAACATCAAAAGAGATGTTACAGAGGGCTTAGCACTTTCCCCTCTGCTCCTCACAAGAAAAGTCAATGTCACACTGTGCCATATAATTACATCCAAGTAATGAATCTCGGGGCTCCCTTTTCATGTGAGATATTTCTAATAGCATATTCTGTTAGTAATACAAATATTGTAATACAATGCCGCCAAAATACAAGCATAGTATGTAAACTAAACTGTGAATGGAACCCTGTGTGTTAAGTCCATTTGGTTAGTGGGTAATTTTTTTAAGCCCCTGCAGTGATCTGTGAATGACGGTGTCCAGTTACACAGTCAACCTTGCTTGGGTTTCTAGTCATCTCCTCTTTCCAGAAAGTTATCGACATAAGCAGTTTTATTAGTTTATTTAACAGGGAATATAATAAAGTCTGCAATAAAATGTTGCAAGTGGAACTTGCCATAATATTTTGCAAAGCAAAGTGCTTCTTCCAGGTTTCTTCATTCCTCCATATCTATTCCCCCATTTCCCAATGCCAGGCTTTATTTCAAGGCAGGAATGCACCACAATAAATTTAAGAAGTTACAGGAGGTAGATAATATGTACTGAAGAATGCAAGAAGGCATATTCCAAGTATTGTTGCATTTCAAGAATGATTCATCCTCTCTCTCTCTCTCTCTCTCTCTCCCTCCCTCCCTCCCACCCTCTCCCCCTCAACTTTTCAGTGTATCTTTCTTGTTCTTGCCTGTCATAAAAAAACTACTGAGATCCCTCTTTTAAGCAAGCTAATTTGTTGATCGTATAGTTGAAGCCATCAGATTTGCAAACTAACTCACATATATGTCAGCATTCTGAACCTATTAAACAAATTCTATAAATCCTGGATTTTATGACAAATAAGGAATTTGTCATAAAATAAAATTAGATTAAAGCCAACTTGCCTTAATCATCCGTAGATCAAATTCTTGCATATAGGTAGCAATACACATTTAGTGCTTTGAACTCAACTCCTGTTCCTGGTTACTTGCACTTGACAAATGGAATTAATGGGAGGAATAGACTGAGGTGTGTTATGGCTGTGTAAGGATTCCAAAGTGATGTTGCATTTGATACCACCTTTGGCCCCCACCTGATCATCTCTTACAGAATAATCCCAATTCAGCTATCTCCAAAAACCAATTCTCAGAAAAGGAGATTGCTAATGGTATTTTATAGAACACATTTCTACTTAATTGTATTTTTTGAAGAAGAATAAACAAAGCCTCTACCTGAGAACATCCCATGCCATCAACAAGTTGTTAACTCCCAGAATTATTATGGGAAACCACTACAGTTAAACTTGGACAAATCTATGTTATTTTGTAATCTAGCTATACCTTTTGAATACAGGTAGTCCTCAGCTAACAACTGTCCTTTTCAACAACCAACTAAAGTTAGGTCAATGCTGGAAAAGTAACTTTTAAGATTTGTTCCCACAATTATATCTCTTGCAAAATCTCCATGGTTATGTAATCAAAATTCAGGCACTTTGCAGGGTACCATTGCAGAGTCCTGTAGACATGTGATCACCATGAAGAAGCCAGCAGTAAAATCACAATACACAATCACATAATATGCTGCTTAATAACCGTGGGCAATTTGCTTAATGACCATGATCACAGTAAGATCTATGAATCTGTCACAATCACACAATGTCTCACTTAGCAACAGGCTGGTTGGTCATTGTGATCATTAAGCAAGGACTATCTATATTCAAATACTACTAATATTTACTATAAGGCAGAAAACAGAGAATGCCAGAAGTCAGAAGCCGGCAGTATTATGTGATAGAGACTTTTCACTCCTGAATTACCACAGAAGGAAAGGGATATACCATGCATTCAGCTGCCACTTCCCATTAAACAAAGCCAAGATAAGACAAATCACTTATTTAAAGCCATTTCACTCTCTGATATTAATGGAAATTAGTTACAAAAGCAAGAGAGGAGTGGGAATGTAGGATTCCCCCTCCCCTACTGTTGTTACTGAATTGTGATATCTGGCCTAAGAGCCCACTGTCAATAAATGTTATCCCCCGCACACAGAGAAGTTCACAGAAAGCGTAGCTCACAGAAATAGCCATGGGATTCAAAGATCTGTACCAAATCACATGCAAACAGGACATCGGTTTCTGTTTAATGGAATAAGACAGGACAATAAAGACCAGAATGCTTAATAAGTTGAATTACTTTTCTCAGAGATTCACAACACAACACGCATTGCACACTAATATTCGTTGGACTAAACTGTACTATATGGCAGGGATCCCCAACCTTTTTGACGCCGCGGCCCGGTACCGGCATCAGCTGGGCGCTGCGGCCCGGTACCGACATCAACTGGGCGCCGCCATCTTTTTTTGACGAAAAAGTGCTTCCGGTGACCTCATCGGAAGCACTTTTTCGTCAAAAAAGATGACGGCGCCAGCGCTTCCGGTGAGCTTTTTCGGGTAGAAATGGCTTTCTACCCGGAAAAGCTCACCGGAAGCGCTGGCGCCGCCATCTTTTTTTGATAAAAAAGTGCTTCTGGTGAGCTTTCTACCTGGAAAAGCTCACCGGAAGCACTTTTTTACCAAAAAAAGATGGCGGCGCCCAGCAACCAGCGGCCCGGTAAGAGTTGTTCCGCGGACCGGTATCGGTCTGCGGACCGGCGGTTGGGGACCCCTGCTATATGGGATTTGCAAACTGTTAATGAAATATATATTTTTTAAAAAGTGCCAAAGCATTTAGTTTGCTGAAGAAATACTTAAGATAAATACCATCCAACAGCCTATTACCAGTGAACAACTGAAAAAAAATATAGTGAAATGTGTAGGAACACTTGTGTATATATGAACCGAGACACTGACTACAATGTAGCAACATCTCTATCAAAAAGCAGCTGGGATGTGCAGGGAAATGTATGTCTACCTTTGAAAGAACTAAAAAATAGCAAATACCACAAACTCTGAGGTGAAGAACAGGTTGTAATTTCAGAGCCTGCCGTCTCTTAGCCATTACTGTCAAATGCATCACAATTTGTTATGAAAGTTTTTAAAGCAAAGGAGAACAGAAAGATAGACCAACCAAGTCAACAGTCTGCCAAACTGTTGACTTTTTTTGGTCGACAACTTCAGCATCTTAGCCACGGAGCCACCGCATCCCCAATAAAATGTAGCTTTGAGGAATTACCTACCTTGGAGTCTGTCTTAGTTGGGGGTGTTACTTGGAATCCTGACATTCTTTTTTTCATCAGATAGAGGGAAAGATGACCACCAAAGGAAAAATGTTGAGTATTTTAGACATCAACTGCAAGCACATTGGGGATCCTATATTTCCTTCACTTCAACTAGCACTGAATCCTGGAATCATTGCTCAATCATTATCCAAAATCCTGAATTTACAAAGATTGAGATCCAGATACTGCTTTTGTATTATTATGCAATAGACACCAAGTTTAGAAACTGTTCTGTATAAGGCAAAGTTATTTATTTTCACAGTGAATAGCATAAGACTTATTAATTTCCTAAAGGCGTGTTTAAACAACTAGCTGGGCAAGCAAAGATGTAACTTCATCTCCTTCATACATCTTATTCTGTATTCTAAATGTATCTATGCATGCTATTAATGTTTATCTGATGCTCTAAAATGATTTACTACTATCAACCAAGACAAAAATCTATTATTTCTCTTGCTCAGTTATTCAAAACAACCTAAAGCAAATAAGTTCCCTCCACATTTTATTTTGAAATAAAGGATTTAACGTAATAGCTTTCCTCAATTGCGCTTTTTAAAATACAAAGAAAAGTATATATTTAATTGACTTGTTTTATCCAGATTTTCTATATTTCTACACATTTTAGTAGGTCCTAGTGGTGGATTTCCTGAGCAAGAGTGATTCGATTAATGAGCTCATTATAATTCATTAAGGAGTGTTGTGTGGATGGCTGCCTACTTTAATTAGTTTTATTATGGAACAAAATTGCTTCATATGCCAAGCTCAACGACAAACACATTTGGAAAACATCAGAGTAGTAATCAGACAAAATACAGACCATTCATTAGACAACCTGTCTAAAGTCATTAAGAGCAAGAAGAATATTAAAGTGACGGACATTCCAACATTATTAAGTACATTAAATATTTTTTTACATTAAACAATTTTTCAGATCTAATGATTCTGGGACAAAATGAGCAGTCACAATTCTCAGAAAGAAATCCGTTACAAGAAAGGTGTTGATATGATACAGGAGTTGTTCTTTCCATAATTACAGCACATGGGACAGTAATAGCAGCTGAAAATTTAGACGGTCACATTTATTCACATAATAATCCCTAATGTGGCTCTTCAATGACTCCCTTCAGTGGAAAAATTAATTAGTAAGTGGAAGCTTTACCCACTCACACATGCACCTCAAAAAGTGTGCATGTATGAATTTCCCATTGTTGTGTTAGCCATTAAAAAAAAGAGGACTTCTTGAAGAAATCAATTGAATCATTCAATTCTCAATCTGAAAAATATCACAGAAAAGAGTGGCTATGGTGAAAAAGTTTCAGATGTTTAAAAAGGCAGAAGATTAGAAGCTACTGGTTAAAATGAAAAAAAAAAAGATTGCTAAAATGACTTCTTTTTATTTTCCTTCTGGGAAACACACAGTTGAGTTATTCTTTATAAGATTGGTGCATTCAATCAAAAGAAAGAAAGAAAAAAGGAAAAGGCAAAAAATGTAGAAAGCTAGGTAGAAAGGCAATAAAGAGCCCAAAATGAAGTTGTAGCAAGTTTAGGGGAATGTTTATTATGACTGCCCATTTTCAGAGAGAGATTTTATATATTCTAAATGTAGCTATTGATTACATGAAGGAATTAAATCTTTAATTACCTATATGGGTGAATTTAAATTTCTTGGTAATCCTTACAGGTGGATTTTATTTTTCTTTAATTTTCCAGAAGAATTTACTTATTTAAAAAAACAAACCAGAAATCCCACTGGCTGAGCCCAAATATT